GATTGCTAATCGGTGTATATAGTTACTAGACTTATCCAAGTGGGAGACTGTTGGAATAGTGTCTAAGGCTACAACTATATTAAGCAAGTATTTGACCCGATTGAGCATGGTCCTTTTGGGTTGCCTTCACCATAGCAACTTGATAGGATGATTTACAATGAGAGTTGAAATATTATAAGGAACAATATTATTGTTATTTGATTAATATAAGTCATAAATTAATTAGGAATTAATTTGGTGACTTAAAGAGATTAATTAAATAGAAGGGCTTAAACTGTCGAGTGTGTGATAGTTATACTTTAGGCTATAATCTTTTATGGATAATGGGGTGGACGATTTTAGGGGCTTAGAATAGACCTAAAATCCGTCCAAGGCTTATGATGAAGGGATTAGGATTGCTTATGGCCTAAGTTATCCAATTAGGGTTTAAAGGTGAAACCCTAGGAGCCTTACAAGTGTAAATAGACCCTAGAGGTCATGGAACTCGACACTCTTGTTTCTAAGGAAACCCTGGCCGATTTCTAAGTCCCTCCCCACTCTCTTAAATCATCCTCTTGCTAGTTGGTGTTTGTAAGCCATTAGAGGAGTGAAAATTGTGACTTTAAAGCTCCACAGACAAGAAGATCAAACAAGTGATTCAAGGTAAACTTATAACTCTGATTTCTCAATGTTATTATGATAGAATGATCATTAGAAGTCTTGGATTCATGCATGTTCAATTAGAGAAACCTAGATCCAAGCATTAGGGTTTGTATGTGCACATACGAATGTTCATATGGCAAAAACCCAACAGTTTATCTCGTGTCCATATTCAACTTTGCACATTTAACAAGTCTAGTCCCTCCCCATAGGATCTTTTTCTTATTAAGACTATAATTTACAAAACAACCGCCAACATTCTGGATTCTTAACAATTTAAGTCCCAGAAGTTAACATTAACCCTCAACATTTCAAAATTCTTTTCAATCTAAGTCCAATAATTACCAAACACCCCCTGACTTCTGAAATCTTTACAAGACTAATTCGAAGCTTACACTTTAACCCCCGGAGATTCAAATCTTGTCGTTTATCTTCCGGAAACCAACACCCCACTAATTATTATTTGATTTTTGTAACAGCCTGAAATTTCAAGCCAATGTAACGTATTCTAGTCGAACCTTGTAAACTGTTTTAAGTTAATAAAACATCTTTGAAAATGAAATGTTCAAAAGGTCTCAATTGGGTTGTCTAAATGATAGATATCGTGTCCAGGGTTCCAAAAACATAAAGATCACTAAAATCTGAGTTATAACGAAGAAGTTATGACTAAGCAAAGATTCACAATAAAAACCGTCAATACAGTTAAACGTAAAACGATAAATTTCAATAAAATACTTATTATCCTTAGGTATCTAAATAAAAGTCGTAGATATCATTAAACCGTGAACACACATAAAAAGAACGCCCAAATCTGACTTCGTATGAGGAAGTTATGATTTTTCGAAGTTTCGGGATAGCAGTAGACAACTAAAAACTTGAAATAGAGATCGAGCATTTTTTAGCCAAAACAATTTAAACGAGAATCGAAGATCTCGTCAATAGTAGTACAACGGTAAAAAGACAAATGAAAACAGACGTCGGATGAAGAAGTTACGGACTTTTCGTGTCCCGGCCTGTTAAAAATAATATATCAAAAATAAAATCAAAATTAGCCAACGGAGTCTAAATGAAAGTTGTAGAGTACATTCTCACCTACGCGTGCATATAAAGAATGTCAAAAACGGAGCTCGTATGCGAAAGTTACGCATTTTACAAGTTCGAGGTGCACAAACCGAGACGAGTTACGCCCAACGTACCCTTGTACGCCAGAGTACCCTTGTACGCCAGCGTACTCGGGTGCTAGGCTTCGGATCGTCCACGTAGCCCCTCTACGCCTCTATGCCCCGTCCCATCCGAAGTCTGACAGATGAGGATGCAGTCATGCATGACGTCCGGTACGCCCCGCATAACCCGGAGGTACGCCCCGCGCACCGAGGGTTTCCAGCCCCTATAAAAGGGATGCGAGGGTTCTGGGCATAATTGCTCATTTTTTCTCCTTCTCTTCCGTCTTTACCCCGTTTTGCGTGCAAGAAATATCCTGAAGCCCCAGTCTTCACATCCAAGTCTCGAAAGAAGGTTTTACACTCCCGAGATTCCCGAGACACCCGAGAAATCCGTTTTCTCCTGTCAAAGTTTTGCTCGGTTTTCATCTCACCATCTTCACTCTATCAAGTGAGTTCATACCCCTACAAACACGCTTTAAATATGTTTTAAATGCTTTTTAAATACTTTTAAGGGGGGAATACAAGTAAACACCCGATTATTATTGAAAATATCTATCATTTTCTATGCATTTCATACTGTTATATTAAGTATCATATGAAAACATTCGCATGCAACACATATTACGATAACACATTGTCTTTTCAGAATAAAAACATGTTATATAACTATCAAATACTTTTATTATATTTTGAGTATAAATGTTGAATAATGTTATACTTTACATATAAAGTCAACACTACGCTAGGGTTTAGCATACAAACGAAACACACTTTTGGCAAAACTATAATAGGCATAGTTTACTAGATATTCATGATATTTTACATACTATAAGTACCATATCAAGGAAATACTTTCATAAACAAGGATAATTGGAGTTTTCATATGTAAATTTATTCAATACTAAGTTTTGTGAGATATTCAACTTCACGTACTTTCAAGTATGCAGTTAAAGTCCTGTATTATTTACCATAATCTCTTGTAGGGAGAGCATGATACTTGTGTATAGATCTATACGGGATTGACAATCCGGAACCTAAACTGTTAGCTACAGTTAGACCAACAGGTCTGGGGTGGAAAATGTCATAACATTCCAATGCCTGAAGAACATTGTTACATGCAGTCTGGGTCAATAGCATGGTTATAAAACTCACATGGAGTAGAGAAACACGTTGATTTACAGGATTATCAAATGCCTTAGTGATTTTATACATACATAAACCTACTATCCTAGGCATGAAAAACATTATTGCATTGCAGTTCTGGAACTTTTAAACTACCACACACTTATGGAAAAATATTGGATTTCTAGAAGCAAACATTCAAACAGTTGGGTCTTGCTAGGAGACTACTTTTATACTAGTAGGAAATATGAGATTTTCTAGGATTTTTCAAAAATCTACAAACAGTTTCATTCAGATTTTTTTTACAAACATTGACATTAAATACTTATGAACTCACCAGCTTAAATGTTGATCTACTCTTTCAAACTTAGTTGTATTTCTCAGGGATTCAGTAATACAGGTAAACTTTAGCTTTTGGAGAAGTGAAGCTAAGACGTCAGTTTAAAACTCATTTTGTCATCATATTGTAATTTATTTTAAAACAAGTATCATTCGACAATGTAACTTTTAAATTATATATATGATGGTTGCTTTACTTTCTTTACTATGTATTCAGTTGTTACGATACTACATGAAGTCATCCACCCTCAAACGATTCCGCCATTCTGGTTTGGGGGTATGACAATTTGCGACAATAATAATATAAAATAATAATAATAATTACTTCTTGGGGTTTCGAGTTTATTATTTAATTATTCAATTTTAAACGGGATGTTACAATAACACAAACATCCAAACACTCGAATGTATGAATATGAAGGTACCTGCTGATATAGACCTTGAAGAGGTGTTATATTACCCAAAAACTTGGTTAGAAGAACATTTAGAAGATAAGTTGCTATTTGCAAAGCATGGTGCCAAAATGAAGGAAGAAGCGAGGCATGCATTAAAAGCGTACAGGTGACATTATTAATAGTGCGTAATAAGGCTGTTAGGGCTCTTTGTGAAAGAAAAGAAGCGAGAATAAAACCCTAGGCACACTCTAATACCATATTAAAGTATTTTCCTCAAGAGATTCAATTCTCATGATTGTTAATATTGTAGAAACAATAATTACTAAGATCGAAAAATTCTATAAGAGACGTGAATTAAATAACAAGAACAATGAAGATCAAAGTAGTGCCGAATGCTTTAATTATAATAGCTCTAAAAGAGTTCAACGTGAACTTCTCTATGAGAGCTAGGTAGGGTGATGCAGTCATTAACCCTAAAAGGATACATGCATGCACAATATATAGCCTAACCCTAGAAAGCGATAACCATGAATGGACAGGACCAAACCGATATAAATGAGACTATTCTAGCACACACATTTGACACAATGCATTAATAAGCACAACAATCTCCCCCTTTGTGTCAAATTGTGAAGGAGGTTCTTCACTGTTGTTTCTTCTGTGCTTTGAACAGTTTCGACATCAAATTCAGAAGTCTATTTCTTATGACCAGGTACCACTTGATCATATTAGAGAAGCATTTCTGATCATCAACATTGTTGACTTTACTGGATTTAGTCAATCCGAGGATAGTGTTCAGAGCAACAATGGAGTATAGGTGTTTGTATCATAAGAAAAACATAATCCTCTAAACATTTTGGCCTTCTTTCCTTTGGTACACCACAGACCAATTTTCCTTTCGGATTTTTCCCAACCTGAGCTTGTGGAGATCCTTTGGTTCTTTTTCAGGCTTCAGAATCGACCTTTTCTTCAGAACTAATACAACTTCTACATCCATTTTCGCAATCTTATGAATGTAGCAAATCAACATCCTCTTCAGGTGTGCAACAATTGTCTCATAAGTTTTTTCATCTTTACACACAATTAAAAATAGTGAAATCTAGTAATACGGATTCATGCATGGAAGTTCTGCCAAAGAGAAGTCATCTTTAGTACATTTTGCTCCTTGGAATCCTTTAAACTTGACGTTTATGAAGTCTCTAGTCGGAACAAGAGCATAAACCTTTAGAGCCATAATCTTCTATGAGCTCCACATCTGGAACTGAGGCTTGGCATATTTGAGGTAGAAAGAGAAGAGCTTATGATTGACATCATAGTCGAGATTGGTTCGTTCTCAATCTTTTCAAAGCATTGAAATAGAAATGCCCTTGGAAGGCTCCAACAAGTAGATGTTCAGAGCGTCAATAGCTTGCTTTTGAATTCGATCCATAGTCCACGTAGGAAAGAGTGACTTTTGAGTCTCAAGAGTTAATTTGGCAATATTAGCTTTCTTTTCCTTATCTTCTAACTCTTGGCAAAGATGCAATAGACTATCAAGCTCCTTATCATGTTTCTTTCTGACCAACTTTTCGCCTTCATAAAGTTCTTCTTCTTCTTCTTCTTCTTCTTCTTCATCATCATCAAACATAACATTCTCTTTGCCTTTTGTTGATGCAGAAGCTTCATTATCCTTCTAATCATTAGGATTCAGTTTTGCTTCATGTTTTTCACCAGTTGGATTCTTCGGCTGAGGTTCTTCCTTGTTTTCTTTGTCTCCCCTTTGTTTTGGAAGAGCATTGCTATTCAAAACACCCGGAAGCTCATTCAACATTGCAAAAACAGGATAAAGTATTTCTGTAAGATGTTGGTGAAGCGAGACTATGAGTAAGGAGTCAAGAGTCTCCACAACCCTGTGTAAACATTGATAAATCTAAGAAACACAGCTTTTGACAATTATTTTCTCAGATTCCAGATCATCAAGATGATTGTTCGTGTACTGCAGTTTTACTAAGAGAACCTTGAATTTCACAGTCTTCTCAGCAAATTTATCCATAAGGTTGTTCTCTGTAGCAAGATCATTCTAAAGTTTCTCAATCTTGGAAACAATAGATGCATTTAATTCAATGTTGCCTTGTTTGATCTCGGAACATACAAGGGAAAGAGCTTCCTTATCATCCTGCAAGGAAGTGTGAAACCCTATAATAACCTTGTTCATGGCTTTAGTGTTGGGTTCAATAGAGGATCTGAACTCAGCGATAAACGATTGCACTTCTTAAATTAGTTTTTCGACTTTTTCAGTCATTTCTAAAACGGTTTTCTCGAAAGCTTGAATTGCCTTGGTCGAGTCTTCAAGGACTTTCACATTTGATTTCGTGAGCCTCTCAACTGTTGCTCAGTGGGACTTCAACATAAATTCATAATTGGATGAGGATTGAGATGACTCCAAAACAGAATCCAAATTCTCATTTAACAATTTAAATTGCCATTTAGTCATCGGGGCTTCATCATCATCACTGTTTTGATTGATGGTGAAGGGGAGAAAAACAAAGTCTTAAAAATTCACATGATCATCCTTAAACAAAATATCAGAATCAGAATCAAAAGTGGGAGAAGCTGTAGAAGTGATTGGTTCCTTAGTCACACCAATGTTGGCATCTGCCCCCGTATCAGATACGTTGACATGAATACCTAAAGTGTGTACCTCCTCTGAAACGGACTTGGTAATAGTGTGTAACATCCATAAAATTCATAAAAAAATAAAATATTTTCAAGCATCCAAAAACCATTATTTATTACAAAATGTTTTCAAAATAGTTTCATATCAGAGTATCCCAGAAAATCAAATCATAAAATGTAAAGAGGTGCATGATCAAGCCTTTGCCTTCTCGCGGTCATCCGAAGTACCTACCCGAAACAAAATCCAAAACTATAAGCCCGAAGCTTAGCGAATTCCCCCAAAATACCAACGTAGTAGAAACCATAACAATATCATAACAAACAACATGCATATAGAGTTTGTAGTATGACTGGACCGCCATCACCGGGCCTTCAGTCTATCTTGCCCACTCTCAGAACCTTTAGCATGTCTGGTCCGCCCTACCGGGCCTTTAGCCTATCTGGGCCGATCTTTAGGCCTTCGGCCTGATTGGTACGCCCCATTAGGCCTTCAGTCTATCCGGGCCACCCTGGGTATGTTGGCCTTCAACACAAAGCAGGACCTCCTCAACCTACCCCCACACATACAATCAACACATAGATAACAAATGCTAGCATGTACAAACAGTCAAACCGATCTAACAGATCACTAATCATAACATCATCCTATGTATTTGGATACTGACCTAACATGTCACTAAACATAGCATCATCCTATATACCAGGATACAGATCTAACAGATCACTAAGCATATCATCACGCGATAACCAGGATAACAATCCAAAAAGGGCCGACATTGGTGCCTTCGACCCTGTTAGTATAATGAGGAAAACTCACCTCTCAAGTAGTGTTAAATCAAGAAGATCAAACCCTAACTCTCAACTCCAAACTCAACTGCCTGTAACCACCATATGACTGATTCCATTAGAATCCCAAATTACCAAAATACCCCCATAAGTCAAGCTTGGTCCACCATGGTCAGAGTCAAAGTCAACAGTCCATGTTGACCCAACTCGTCGAGTGCAGCTTACTGAATCATCGAGTTCCTTCAACACTCAGAAACCGTGAAAACTCGATCCAACTCGTCGAGTTGCCAAACAACTCGTCGAGTTTATGTAGTCTCCAGAAGATTGGAAAACCTTAACCAACTCGTCGAGTTATCTCACCAACTCGCTAGGTTCACTCAGATTCCAGAAAGCGAGAAACCCTTATCTAACTCATCGACTTGGCTAAGCAACTCGTCGCGTTTTCCTACCTTAACGTGTTCAACCCTTTTCAGTCGGCTCCAAGGACCCAAACTGCAGATCTAGCCTCTAAGGACTAAGATACCACATAAAGTTGCTAACTTTACGTGCATGTAAGGCCTCAAAGGGATTAAAACACTAAAACTAAGCTTAATAAGAGGTTTAGGGCATAGAGGAGGGCCAAGACTAGATAAAGTGGCAAATTTATGTTCATGGAGGCCTAGAGGTGTCCATATCTTAAACCTGATCCTCTGGACAAGCTTAAATCCGAGAATGACTCCAGTTTGCACCAAAAATGACCACATACTTCCATAAGAGGAGATCTAAGAAATGAAAAGCCAATGTAAAGACTTTTTACCTCAAAATTGTTGCTAACACAGAGTAGATGTCGGATCTTATGCTTCTTCCTTTGCTCCAACCTCTTTAACTTCAAAACCCTTCCGAAAGAGCACAAAAATGACCTTCAAAGCTCACACACACAAGGAAGTAGTAAAGAACGCCTAGGGTTTCCTTCTCTGGGCAATGAGGTGATAAGGGATGCCAAAGAATGCGGATTAAGTCCTTTAAATAGGGTGCAAACCCTAAAAATTAGGGTTTTCTCATTCAGCTCCAACTCATCGAGTTGGGCCCTCCAACTCGTTGAGTAGGTCTTGAAAAGGACGCAACCATTAAAACTTCAACACAACGAATTGGCAACTCCCAACTCGTCAAGTTGCCTGGGGAAATACATATAAAACTTAAAATTCATTCCTGAAAATTGGGATGTTACAACTCCCCCCACTTACATTCGATTTCTTCTTCGAAATCACCCTTTACCATCCTTGGCATGCCCAACATCTTGAGGAGCCGTCCACAACTTGAACTCGTAACGACCTACCCAAGATGACAAAGTATCAAAATTTCCTTCTTGGTGTGTAATTGAGAGATTTCATTAAATTGAGGTTCTTCTCGACTCCACTGTGATAGCCAATAACTAGAAGGGATTTCAAAGGAAACCTTATGAAGAAGAAAACTTAAGATGAGACGACAAAGTATTCCGACAAATTCAGAGTTTTTGCAAGTTCATTTACCCATCTTGCCATCCCAAACCACCTGATGTCGTCAATCCGCTTTATAATGATTAACAATAAAGCTTGTGACATTTTCTTCCCGGTCCGAATACTGAATCCCTTGAGTAAACTAATCTTGAATTTTTTTTTTTTGAATCTGAATAAAATCAAAACTTGGTAGCCTTGTTTTTCTAACGGTGATAATGATCTCAAATACGACTCTTGGTATTTTGCGAGCATATTATCATGCATTTGTTTATGCCCCACATCTTCGATGACAAGATGAGCATATACAATTATAAGTAAAAAGATTAATTAAAAAAAGTTTGTCCTGAAAAATATAGCAAACTAAATACCAGTACTCACTTGACTAATAAACTCAATTAGGCATGTAAAGGAAGATATATATTTTTTTATAAATGAATTTATGCTTTCTGATCTTCCGGTAGTCGTCATGCCACAAAAAAAAGCCACGAAGATAACTTGGAAACCGCTCTTCGGGAAAAATTTCGTTAATTATTCTCAATGTTATATGCATGTGACCCTTGCATTCACATCTGGTATAACCTTGGCTTTTTGATTTTTTCGTGTAATCTTTTTTAATCTTTGATTTTCCTTTACGATGACAAAAAAAGATAACATCATTTCTTTTCTCTGGTTTTATTGTTCACGAACCTTCTTTTTACAATAGAGAACCCATTATTTCTCGCATAATTTTGATAAAAAAACAAAAGCCTCTTCACTCAGAAAATATTGACCGACGAATAGTTCATAAAAAAATACATTGTTGCTTTCACTTTGTTCTTCTATAGCAGTTTCTTCCTGTTGAATATTTATGGAGTTTTCATTTAGATCCAAAGAAATGCGTTATTGCATTTGTAAATGGTTGCAAAATGCTTGCTAAAAGTTGTCAGTTGTTTAATAAAGATGAGAGGAAGGTTTGATGTAAAAAAGAGGAAATCAAATATATAAACTTGGATATGTGAATTGACGTAGAGCTAAAAAAGTAAACTAATTAATAAGAATATATGATTTTCTAAAATAAAAAAGAGGAAATCAATGTATAAACTTGGATATGTGAATTGACGTAGAGCTAAAAAAGTAAACTAATTAATAAGAATATATGATTTTCTAAAATGTGCTACTTGAGAAAATTTTTAAGATGGATATAATATAACGGTAAATAGGAGGCCAATTAATTAATAATACTAATTGTAATAAAAATATTTTCCATAATTAAATTTTCTTATATTAGATATTAGGCACATAAGTGATTCGTACATAATAAATTTTTTTTCATACATAACAATTTATATTTTATGAATTTGTACAATACAATACTTTAACACATAAATTGTTGCGTATGAAAAAAATTATTATATATGAATTAGTTCCATTAAAAAAACCCATAAACGGTATATATGTGGATTTCTCTTATTAATCATAAGTTTTTTTTTTATTTTTCTGCACAAAACACATGTACTCGTCTAATTTTATATTAATTGTGGCTCCAAACTAAAACAAAATTGAATCACTAAAACAGTGTAAATGAAAAACTAACATATATATATATATATATATATATATATATATATATATATATATATATATATATATATATATATATATATATATATATATATATATATATATATTAAAGTTATGAAATTTTTTAACAGTTACAACATTCATCCTTCATTTTTATGTTTTTGTTCACAAACAATCATTTCACTTTCGTTTGAATTTTCCATAACACTCAGCTTTTATTACATATTATTAATATTTAGTCATATTAAATTTTTTTTGGCAGGGAAGGTCCCTCAACTATATTGAAGGTCCATCAACTATATTTGAATCATTTTAAAATTGCTTCATTTTTGTC